GGCCCGGGCTGGGGATTCGAACCCGCCACCCTAGGTGTACGTGGCTGGCGCCTTAGCCACTTGAGCCACAGGCGCCGAGCCGCTGGATTTGTTTTTAAAGACAGAATCTTGTTTTGTCACCCTCAGTAGAGTTCTGTAGCATCATAGCTCACAGCAACCTTAAACTCTTGGGTTCAAGCAATTCTCTTGCCTCGGATTATAGGTTCCCCACCACAGCACCCAGCTACTTTTTTTTAGAGACAAGGTCTGATTCTTGCTCAGGCTGGTCCTGAACTCCTAAGCTCAAACAATCCACTCACCTCAGCCTCCCAAAGTGCTAAGATTAAAAGCAAGAGCCACCATGCCTGACCAATTTTTGTATTCTTTTCAAGAATGCTGGCTTTCTTCTGCAAGGCAGTTATTTGAGTATAGTTTGATCTTTTTAAAAGTTATTCAGAGTAGCCTTTATGCTGGGGTTAATTGTGGCCAACGTCTGTGTGTGCCTTTGTGGGGCTTCACTGGGTTGGCCTTTAGTGAATAAGAGCTCTCTCCTTGGGCCTGGGGACCTGCTCAGCCCCTCAGTAGTCCTTGCTACACATGGTCTCACCTGAACTTGGACCATGACTCAGGGGACCTCATCAAGGTTTCTAGAGCTCTTCCTCTGCACAGCTCCCTCTTCCCCAGCACTCTGTCCCACAGTGACAGCTGCCCCTGCCTCCACAATGCTAGTCTTTGTCCTGACTCAGTGTGACCCTGCTTGGACCCTTCTGCAACACAGTCCAAATGGTGCCCAGGGCTGGGCTGACCACAGGCTGGTTTGTTTCTCTTCCCTCAGGGTCAGGCCTCCACTGTTCTGACTGTTCACACTGGGAGGTGAATTCCAGGTCCTGTTACTCTCTCAGGGATAGAAGCAGAAGTTTTTTTCTTTTTCTTTTTTTTTTTTAGAGACAGTCTCACTTTGTCACCCTCAGTAGAGTGCCGTGGCATCATAGCTCACTGCAATCTCCAGCTCTTGGGCTTAGGCAATTCTCTTGCCTCAGCCTCCCGGAAGCAGAAGTCTTACTACAGGGTTTAGATCCTAAAGTGCCTCCCACACGTAGCATGTGAGTTGGAGCACTGCCCACCGAGCTCCTTGACATGTGAAAGCTTTAACAAGAGCCCACTTTCCCTTCATTCTTATGAGAGAAGTTTCCACAAACTTATGAGAGACATGGTATGAGAAATTCCCATTTTACACAAACTTACACAAACCTATAGTCCCAGCTACTTACGAGGCTGAGGCAGGAGGATCACAAGCTGTGATTCACAAGCACACAGCCGAGCCCAGGAATTTGAGGTTGCAGTGAGCTACAATGACACCACTGTACTCTACCCAGGGTGACAGAGTGAGACTCTGTCTCAAACAAACAAAACAAATTAAAAAAAACCCTCGAGTCTGAAAAGCTTAAGAGCCTTGCTAATTAAAAAAGCTTTGAGCCTTGCTCAAAGTAGCCTAGTTAATAAATGGAAGAAGCATGGCTTAAAATCAGGCCCTCCATGCTGCAATGCTCATGTCCAAAGCCTGTAAGCCTGCGACTTCTCAAACTTCTCTACAAAATACTCACAAACAGAAAACTGAGGTCATATCTCCCCCAGGCCTTGGGCCAAGTGGCCTGCTTCAAACAAAGGCATGTCTTTGAAATTTCACATTTTATCTTTTTATCATAAGACTTTGTCAGTGCTCACCAAAATGCACAGTAAAATGGGTATATTTCATGCATATTATACATCAGTAAATTCTTACAAAATCAGAGGACCTCTATGTTGGATATTTTAATACATCTGTAAGCGGCAATATTTTATTAAGAAAATAATGGCTTTTTCCTCAAACACCTTCATATTTTCCTGTGAGTTCGCATAGCCTAGATTAAGCAACTGGGCAACATTCTGCTTCACTGTCTGGTTTGACAGAGTTTTCTTGTGATGACAGGTATAAAAGAATCTACAAAGTTCACCAAGACGTCTGCTTCAAAGAGAGCTGTGAAGGCACAAGCCCCAAGAAAGCCCCAAACAGGTGCCACATGGGGGGAGGCACATGCCATGGCCTGTATACAGCTCAAGGGTGATGGGCAAGGTGGCCCAAGGACTGTGTGCTATGGGACACACAGGCCTTTAGGCTGAGCCAGGTCATCTGATGGGCAGCCCATGCAATCACCTCCTACTGGGGCCACATCCGTGTGCCATGCATGTGAGCACACACACAGGCTCAACTGGGCACCTGGGCATGGGGCATATGGCTATGCATGTTCACGCAGAGCATGGCACTACCTACGCTTAGGAGGAAGCAAGAGTTGTAGAAAGCCCTGTGAATACACAACATAGTAAGTTGTGTTTACTTTTCCCCAAAGGGTTCAAAGTAATCACAAGCATTTTTGCTATTTCGGGTTTTACTGAAAGAAGTATCTAAGAATATCATACACTTTCAAAACAACAGAGTCCAAACCTCAGGCATATTCTTCGTGGACCAATGGGCAGCCACACGTGCTTGTTTTGCTCTGAAGGTCAGGCCAAAGGGCACAGCTTCTAGCAGCGCCACTTGGCCCCAGGCATGTGACCTTTCTTCCCCTCACTCCCTATAACTCACAACCAGCCAAAGTGCTACCCTCGTCCCTCCACAACACCAGGCCAGGTGGATGCAAACTAAGATGCTGGTCCCGTGCTGCTGCTGTGCTAATGGGTCCCCACCCCCACCTTGGTGCTGGGATGCATGCACTGAAGGCAGATCCACGCAGGATCCAAGGTACACAAGTCTCTTTTTCATAAACTATTTTTCTCTAATTATTTCAGGAAACAAAGTAAGAGTCAAACACTGGAGAAACCCTAAGGTATGTCCCCGGAACCCACCCTCCCTGCCTACCACAGAGCTGCTGGATGTGGGGGAGGTGGCCCTGCCCGGCCCTGGGCTCTCAGGGCTGCTACCTCCTGAGCACCACTAAGGAGAGCTCAGTGTGCTGCAGGGTTACAAGCTCCAGGGCCAGACATAAACTTGGATCAGCCATGGAAAAACACATCTCCAAGTGGAAATGTGTCTCTCTGGGTGGGGATAAGTCCCACTCTCTCAAGGGATATGTAGCCATGAACCTTCTGATCAGCTTCAGTGGGAGGAGGGAAGGTGGCACAGAACTGCCAAACCACCTTTTGGGGGTCAGTGGAAGAGCCTGGGATGCTGCAGATCCTGGGGGTGCTGGGAGGGATCTTATCGTCCCTGTGAATGGCATCCTGTGTGAAGAAAAATGATCATGTAACACAAAAAGTCCTGAAGATAGTCTCTCGCTAGGAAATTCACAATGGACAGCAGACTCCTAGTCATAAATCCTGAAGTGAAAGAAACGTTTTAACTCTATTTTTGTTTAGCCCAGAATTCCCCAAACTTCTTTGGCAACCAGATCCCCATCCTGCCCCCACCGCCCCACATGCAAACTCTGTTGAATCTTAAAGAACAGTGGTATTCTTCACAACAGTTTGGAAATCCTTGGGTTAAACTGTAGAAACCTACAGCCTATAATCGGTTTCATGCCAAGTGAAATTTCTTCTCAACATGTCACCAGGAATGAAAGACGAATTTCTGGTTGGCCTAAGACAACTCACACTCCTTAAAGGAGTGTAAACATCATCTTCCTGGTGCCGAAGGAGAGGAATGGGGCACCCTCGTGCAACAAAAATCTTCTTACGTGGCTAAGGAAACACAGGAGAAATGTCGCTCAGAGACCTTTAAAAGAACCAGAAGCAAGGGAGCTCCTCAGGCAAGGTCTGCCCTGAAGGAAGAATGCCCAGACCAGCCAGGGGTGGAGGGCTACAGCTCCAGGGCGCCCAAGTCACCACAAGGGTGACCGTGGGCATCTGTTTGTTCCCTCTGTGAAAAACTTCTGTTTGTTGGACAGCAGCACCAGCACTCAGGGCCTGTCCACTCAAAGGCATCACTTTGATGCCTCCTACCTCGGCCTCCAAGGACACCCCCACAGGCTTGCAGGCAATTTACTACAGTCATGCATCACTCAACTGTGGGGATGTGTTCTGGGACACATCATAGAACAGTTTCATTGTGAAGGAACATGAGGTACATGCACACCTTGGCCACATGGCAAAGCCCGCTGTCTGGCTTCACAGCAGTGAGCGCATCCCTGTGCTGGGTGCTGTGGGCAGTGCCCGAGCAAAGTTCTGAATGTCTAATCCTGACCAAACACAGGAAAGGCACAGTCAAAATGTGACCCTAAGATAGTGTGTGTGTCTGGGCACTGCCCCGAGAGGCTGCAGGGTGGGGCTGTCGGGATTTGCCCGTGAGTGGGCACGAGGGCCAGTGGGGCCAGACACTCCTGTGCACAGCTGTGTGCTTGTGAACACTTCACACTGAGACTACTTACACTGAATTTATTAAAAAAATTTTTTCTTTCTTCAATAACAGATAAATCCTAGCTTACTTTAACTGTACTTCGTAAACTTTTTAACTTTTTTAACCTTTAATTTTTTTTAACTTTTTGACTTTTATAATAATGCTTAACTTAAAACACAGGTACAGCTGTACAAAAATAATTTTCTTTTTTATATCTTTTCTATAAAACTTTATTATTTTTAAAACTTTTTTTACTTTTTAAACCTTTTCATTAAAAACAAAGACGTAATTGATGCCTATAATCTCAGCACTTTGGGAAGCCATGGCAAGAGGATCACTTGAGGCCAGGAGTTCAACAGAGCAAGAACCCATCTCTGCCAAAAATTTAAACAATAGCTGGTCACGGTGGCACACATCTATAGTCCCAGTTACTCAGGAGGCTGAGGTGGAAAGACCACCTGAGCCCACCAGCTTAGGCTGCAGTGAGCTGTGCTCACACCACTGCCACTTCAGCCTGTGCAACAGAGCAAGACCCTGTCTCAAAAAAATAAAAATAAAAAAAGACAGAAGCACACACAAGCCCAGGCCTACACAGGGTCAGGGTCATCAGCACCACTGTCCTCACCTCCATGTCTTGCCCCACCAGAAGGCCTTCAGAGCAGTAATGTGCATGGAGCTGGCCTCTCCTGTAACCATGCCTTCTTCTGGAGACCTCCTGAAGGATCTCCCTCAGGCTGCTTTGAAGTTATATTCTTGGCTGGGCGTAGTCACTCACACTTGTAATCACAGCACTCTGGGAGGCTGAGGCAGGAGGATCCTTTGAGCTCACAAGTTTTGAGACCAGCCTGAGAAAGAGCAAGACCCCATCTCCAGCAAAAATAGAAAAAATTGCTGGGCATTGCAATGGTGCCTGTAGTCCCAGCTACTCAGGAGGCTGAGGCAGGAGGATCTCTTGAGCCCAAAAGTTCCAGGTAATAGTGAGTTATGATCGTTCTACTGGGTTCCAGCCTGGGTGACAGAATGAGACTCTGTGTCCAGAAAAAAAAAAGCTATATTCTTTTTTTTATAAATAGCAATATACTATAAAACAATGATAAAAGTCATAGTACAGTAAGTACATAAACTGCTAACATTAGCCACTTTGATCACCGTCAGCACCACGCTCTCTGCACTGCATGCACTGTGTCCCGGCTGCCAGCAGCATGGTTTGCTTACACCATCAACACGAACACGAGGGTGATGCGTCTCAAAGTGATGTGATGATATGTGGATGGAGATGGCTGCACTAGGACCAAGCCCCCACACACAATTTGAGTTTGATGCATTTATGGGGCAGTAAGTCACCTCACATTATCAATGTATCTATTAAAAACTTGCTCAGCAAACCTGATTCTATAAAAGCAAATCGGAAACCTCCAATTATTACTGTCAAGTACTAGCTTACAGAATGCCTATGGAAAAACATAAAAAGCAGCGAACAGAAACACACCCTCCCAGACATCTCCCCAAGAACATAAGAATTTACTTCTGTCCAGAGCAACTGGACACGCCTGTTCCCTCACAGGGAAGACCTGGGTCACCACCTCAGGGAGGGCAGCAGGGAAAGGCAGCCACCTTCAAACCCACAGGCTCAACGCTGCAGATGTAGGGCACAGCCAGTGCTTCTCAGACTTGCCCCCCACACCCTCTGCCACCATAGGGTGTTGATGCTCTGACAATACTGGTCTCCTGGGGCACAGAGACCCCACAGCCTGCACAAGGAGATGCAGGCAGCAGCCATCTAAAGAGCAGGTGTTACTATGGTTCTCCTCACTCCTCACTTTTTCTCTCCAAAGGATTTAGGATGTTATTGTTACACTCTGCCAACCTCGAGAGTTATTAAAACCCAGAAAGACAAGGGCTAAAAATCGGATTGAAAAGGACACCCTGAAAGACAAGGTCCTGGCTGGAGTCGGTCCACTCTGTCACCTCTCTCCTCAGGCCTCTAGAAGCTGGTTGCAATCACCAGCCCACCCTGGGAGATGCCCAAGATCGGTCTATGAGTCCTGCACAGCATGTAAGCAGCCCATGCCGTGGTCTGTGCAGGTGTGGTCTGCACCTTTCTTGAGAGGCAGCAACAAGCCATCAATGGGGCCTGGTGAAGGGATGGCTGGTTACACTTCCGTAGTTTTCAGACATCCACACTCAGATTCCAACACCAGAGGAAGATTCACCCTTTGAGACCGAACCAACTGAGGAGGAGCTGCCAAGGACTGGGGTGGGAGGGGCAGAGCCTCCTCACCCTCCTCTGGTCCACCTGTTGCTTATGCTGACATAGCATAGACTCAGGCCAGACCTGTGACTGTGTGGGTGTGGCTATGTCCTAAGAGAACTTTATTTACAAAAACAAGTGGTGGCTAAACCAGCCCTTGAGCCATAGCTGGCAAACCCCTGGTCTAGGAGATCACCTAGGCTTCAGGCTTCAGCAGGAGCCATTCCCTGGATGACAAGTCACCAGCAAGGCACTGAAGACCCCCCCATGGTGGATGCTATCCAGACCTACCTGGAAAGCTCAGGCCCAGCACCAGAGAGCAGCTAGGCTCTTCTTATGTGTCTCAGGGTAAAAGAGACGGACCCTAGGGGCAGGATAATGGTCAAGGTTCCTGTCAGTCCATGACTTGGAGCAAACGCAGGTTTAGCGGCCCCCTCTCACAGAACACTGTCATCTCAGCACATCTGCTTCCCATCACACTCCAACCAGCTCTGTCTTCTCTCTACAAATCCCACCTCTTCTCTTGCTGACTCTTAAGACAACTGACCCAGCTGGAAACCAGGGACTCTGCTGCATCTCCCTGACTCTGCCCAAAGGCATGCCATCTGCAAAAGGGGTCTCCTTCCTTCCTTGCTTGCTTTGGTGAAGAAGTTTTTTGAAAGGTTGGAGTGTATTTTAGGCTACTTTTTATTAAAATTTTGTGTGCATATATCTGTGTATCATGCAATTTGTTATTTTCAGGAAGGAGTCATTTTGAGAAGTCTCTACTGTACTGCAGAGACAGCTCCAGTGTCCCAAGACCCACCAGGAGCAGCAGGCAGGGCTGGGGGGCTGCACACTGGGTGAGCAGAGCAGACTATGTGCACAGACGCGTGCTGCTTGCTGCAGCTGCCAGGACCTGTCCATGCCCATCCATGTGAGCGCAGCACTGCTAGTAGATGGTGATGTCACTGGAGAAGTACACAAATCTTTCTACTCTGGAACTTTCTACTTTGACCTCGAGCCCCTTAGCCATACAGCGAAGCTGACACACTCCAGGTTTTAGCTTAGAAGCCTTGTTTCAACAAGAAATGGTGTACTGAATCCTGAGCCTGGTGCTGGGTTGTCATATGACTGCCCCTTTTTTGATGTTTTACAAATTAAATGTCTAGTAAAAAGACTTCCTGATGCTGAAGGAATGATACTTTATTTTCAAAGCATTCCAAATGGGCCACCATTGTTTTTCTCCATGGTTCCTCTTAAAACTCTAACATCTTCCTTGAAAATACCCAAAGTCTACCCAAGGAAATTATTAACAGAATTCAAAAGTTATCAGGGGCATGAAGGTTTCTTTCTGTCAAAATAAAATAAATCATGAATCATTGAGTTAACCATTTGCTTATCAACACTTGGGATGAGCTGACCCTAAAATCAAACACAGATTTAGCATTCTACTTAGTCCTTTGACTGGGCACAAAAACAACATCCCAAGTGCTGGAGAAAATGGCAGTCACTTGGATGCCACAGAACGTAAGAGTAAATGAAAACACAGGCACAGAATAAAATGTCTTCACTTCCTTCTCCCATTGCACACAGACTGACAGGTGTCAGTGAGGGGGCCTTTGCCTGCCCTCTGCCTTCCACAGACTCTGTCAGGCGGGGACCACCCAGCTTGAGCTCATCCACTACACCCCCAGTGGGAACGTCTCCCACTGCAGACTACTGCCATCAATACCTGACTCAAGATGTGGAGGGAGTCACTGAGCTACTGCTTTTCTTTCACAGAAAATTTCTTTTTCTTTGTAGCCATGCTCTGACATGAGCCTGCTGGTGAAAGCAGCATGCCTCCATGCAAGTCCTATAATAAAGTACAGTCAGATCCACCAAGAGGATTCTAATGCATAGGGGAAAGGATCCCTATTGAAAAATTAGCTATTTTTCTTTTAAGTAAAATGATACTATCATTCTAAGTCCATTTGCAATCTGAAGTTGTCAGGAACAGACATGGTCACATTGATTTTTGAACCAGGCCTTAGAGCCGTTTGTTGGCCTTGGCACTGCATTCAGGCTGGATCGCTCCTTGTCAGGGGCTGCCCTGTGCATTTTAGGGTGTTTTGTAGCATCCAAGGCCTCTACTCCCTAGATCCATGACTCCCTAGGTCATGACACCCTACCTCCAGAGATAC